AAATCGCTTACTAATAATTTCATGGCATCTTTTGTAGATACACCTTTTCTAAAGCCAAACTGTGAATCAGATACTAATTTGAATCTATCAATAAACTGATCTAGTCATACTTTCAGGATTTAGTCTAAACTATCAGGGGTCCTGGGAGGCCAAGATTGAATTCCCCCACGTCCTATCCAGCGATTCGTAAACGCTTCATTTAGAAATTCCGTAGCATGCATGCTAAAATGTGCAGGAGCACCATCATGCATGTACTGCATTTCTTCTTGTATTGTTAGCCATCAATGAAATTACACCCTGTATATATATATATATATATGAAAATATCCGCTTTTGTCACGTACATTCGAATCTTTCACCAATATTACATTGAAATGTTACAATGTATATAATGTTCAGTGGTCATAACTTTCTGCGGTGTCAGGTACTGTTATTGCAATATTGAATTTTGTTCCACCTATCCATCCGCCCATCTCATCTGTTGAGTCTTGAAGTCACCCATCTATCCATCGGTCTCATCTGTGACAGTTGTCCACCTATGCCTACAAGTTTTATCATTAATGCAACTTATTCTGGAATTGATAGGTAAAGTTTCAAAATCGATTCTAGAAAAACATTCATTACTAGTGTTTATTTTTCTTATCAAAATAGATTTTTTTAAACCTCCATAATAATTGTTCTGTATCATCATCTTGAATTGGTCCAGTTTCATTTTAGAGATATAATAAAGTGAATGTCCAAAGATATTTATTAGGATTTCTTAGTTAATCCATCTTCGCGCTGTAGGATATATGTATGCGAAAATTTGAGTTTGTTAATTCAAAATCAAGAACTTTGATGTTTGCTTTTACCAGATTCCATAAAAATCAATACTCATCTAATTTTATAATTCTTAATATGTCAATATTTGTTTTAAGCTATTTTGGTAAATATTAATAAACAAACGATCATATCTGATTCTGTTACTACGTTTTATCAACTGTTGATTATACACCAAGAAATTGAATGTGATGCTTGGACAGCAGGACACACGCGCATTGTTGCCAACTCCTAATTAATAAATTCGCTGGATGTATGCTTGTAACGCGCTAAATAGGAAATATTTCCTTACACGTATATTTATTACCTAATATGGGCTTTGACTTTCGGTTACAGCCACAAGTCCACGACTAAAAAAAATAGTTAATGGGTGTCGTTGATAAGCATCAATCACTGGCTATTCGGTGATTTGATAATTTATCTAAAACCGACCTTTTTGTGCTGAGAGATCTAGGTTTTCCGTTGAAAAATCCGCTATCGGAAATTGCTATTTTTCCTCCAAGTACAATTGACGTCCCCTAGATTTAGCGGCAACATCGGACTTCTTCATAGCAGGTCCAAATTCTGATGGCGCCAAATTGAAAATCTGCTATTCTTATGCCGTATGTGGGTGTTGTTTTCTTCGCCAATATATTTTTGAAGTGACGAAACAGGACAACACAAAGTCATCAAAACCACGTACATATATGAAATGATATAAAAGTCGAAAAAACACATTTTTTTGTCATAATACACCCATTGATGTGCATACGTGTACTTATTACATTGATATTGCCATGGACGCAATAAACCAATATTGTATTGAAAACATCTATTTACTTGAATGTGAATCAAATCTGATGAAATATTTAAAACATATCAATAATATTTCAGAAAGAATATAAATTCCTCATTTCAGTGTCTCTGAAACATAAATTGCGAAATATTACAAAATCGGTATTTCTGAAAGATGTACGAAATACCAATGTTGAAATGTAATATTGGGAAAGATGTAACATACCAGAAAATTCTCTGAAAACTAATGTGGTGTGTGGGCTAGGGTGTCGAGAATAATCTACAAGAGGAGGCTTTTCCCAGTTCTAATAACTTTAGGCCGTTTAAAAATCCGATTAACAACCTTTCTTTGGGATGGAAGTATCAGTGATTTTGTGCAAGCTGTTGATTCACGCCAAGACTGAAACACTATACAAATCTCAAAAAATAAAATTTAAAAAAGTTTAACAAGCAACCATGTATTTTCTCTCGCTCTCCTGATTTGGTCTCTGGTCTCGGTTCCAGCATTTTTCACCACGGAGACATTTATCATAATGGTCTGAAGGGCTACATTCTTAGCCAAAGGGGGGACTTCGTAGCTGCGGGCTTACGCTGCCGAATTTGGTTTCGGTTTTAATATAGCTGGATGCAGCCAGTACTTGTTTTTGTGAAGGGCGGTAAAACGTTGCGTCGGAGCCGAATTCGGTAGCTAGGAGAACAAGTATACCTAACTTGTGTTATAAGTCGGTACCGAAACTCGCAACCGTGTTGATCAGTATTATTTGTTACCTTGAGAGCATTGGGTAATCTTGAAGTTGTTGTTTATCTCGCGTTTTCTTTGTTAGTGTTATCAAAGACATAAAATATTGTGCAAAAGATGCGGTAATTAGCAACGTTTCCGAAATACTAAACCGTAAAGTTTGTCTAAGAACAGGTGCGTTTAACTCTCCGAAAAGAGGTTCTATCAAATAATGTATGTATTGCTTGTGTTTTGTATATGGTTAGTCTAAACATTTTCTACTAATGATCTGTTAGCGTACATAGGATGTCTGTAAATTAAGTGATAAGACTGGTAACGTAGCGTTCGACCTGGCAACACTGGAGGCGCCGGGCTTGGAGGGGAGACAAGGGAACATGCGATCCGCCTTCAGTACAAGTTTGAACTTAATCGAGTATTTGGTTGTCCGTAGCGATTTTTTTGTGAAACAGTTTTTTCTGTTGTGTTCTAAAAATGAGTGGCACCAGTTTCAAGCAACGGTGTGCTATCAGGTCTTGCTTCGGATAGAATCCAGGATCTTGCACATTCAGATCGTCGGTATTGACAGTCAGAATGATCAGAGAAGAGTTAAATTTGACTCACACTACCGTTCATCAGATCAAGAACAACTGGGTGTTGGATCACGATAATGCTCATTGTCACACAGCAATGTCAATAAACGAATTTTTGGTCAGTAAGAACATTCATGTGGCTCCTCGGCCCCCTTGTTCGCCTCACTTGCGTCTTTGTGACTTTGTTCTCTTCCAGAAGTCGAAAAATCGCCCAACTGAATTGGCTTCAGTAGCGCATCTGAAAGAGTCAATGGTTGAAAAAAATTATATTTTTGTCTTACCTAAACAAGCAAGAATCTGCAGTTTTGATATTTATCATCCTGTATATTAGCATTTTACACTATTTATATCACAGAACCTCATTTTTACTTCTCACACCTACTGACGCGGAAGTGTTGTAATCACGATTTTCAAAAATGATATACAGGGTTTGTCCGGAAAGTAATAGGACTCATTTTCTTCCGCCATGACTGTACTTCGGAGCGTGCGCGCACCGACTGGATTCGGTAGAGGGCGTTCCTAGCTAACGAATGAGCGACTGGTCAGTTGTCTCCGAGCACTTGGAGAGTCAGGACAGGCATTTTCGCGCGACGTGTTTCTGTGAGTGGTGCAAGCCGAAAATGCAGCGTTCGTTAGAGCAGAGGTACGCGATTAAATTCTGTGTGAAACTCGGTAAATCTGCGACAGAGACGTTTGATATGATCAAGCAGGCTTACCCAGGTGTTGCTTTAGCAAGAAGTGTGTTTCGGTGGCACCAGGCCTTTTTGGAGGGTCGGGAAGAGGTCGCTGATGAAGACCGTGCTGGAAGACCTTCGACTTCGACAAACACCGATAATGTGACTCGTGTGCGCAAAGTTTTGAACTCAGACTGTCGACTAAGTATTCGTTTAATTGCCCAAATTTACCAAAATCTGTGGTTCATGACATTGTGACACAGCATTTGAACATGCGCAAGGTGTGCGCGAAGATGGTCCCAAAAGTGCTCACTGACGACCAGAAATTGCGGCGAGTGGAAGTGTGCCAAGAAAATTTGAACATGTGTGAAAGTGACCACCAATTTTTGAATAACGTAATCATAGGTGACGAGTCGTGGATCTTTGAGTATGATCCCGAGACAAAGAGGCAATCTTCCGAGTGGCACACGACGGCGTCTCGCCCAAAAAAGGGAAGAATGAGCAAATCCAAAGTGAAAACGATGCTCATTGTCTTTTTTGACATCAAAGGCATCGTCCACCGTGAATTTGTTCCTCCTGGACAAACCGTCAACGCCAAGTTTTACGTGGAAGTGCTCAGGAGACTCAAACGAAGGGTCAGTCGCAGCCGACTGGAAGTTGCACCACGACAACGCCCCGGCTCACACCGCCTTTCTTGTGAACAGCTACCTGACCAAGGCCGGCATCCCAACGCTTCTGCAACCGCCCTACAGCCCAGATGTGGCCCACCCGGAATTTTTTTAGTTCTTCGCCTGAAAAGACCGATGAAAGGCAAGCATTTTGAGACGACAGAGGGAATCCAAGCAGCATGCACCGCGGCTCTCAAGGCTATTCCGGAGAATGCCTTCCGTAACGCTTTCAATGCTTGGAAATCGCGCTGGCAGCGCTGCATCGACGCAGAAGGAGCCTATTTTGAAAGTTTTAAAAGAATTGTAATGATTGGCTCAATAAATTTTATTAAATCGACTCAGTTCTATTACTTTCCGGACAAACCCTGTAAATATTATGTTTTTTTGGATGTTATATAACCTACCAAAAACCATGTTCTGTCGACTGTCTGTTCGATAATCTTTGGACCGCCTATAATTTGAGAAGTACCGCTCGGTGATGAAATTTTTACACAATGTTACTACTATGCCAAGGACGAAAAATCTTTATAGTTTTTGAAAATAGGCTCAGTGGCGGCGGAGAAAAATGTCAAAAACGAAAAAAAAAAATCGATCGTATTTCGTTTGTTGAGACTTCAGAGAACCTGATCATTTTTGAAAAAAAAAAACACGAAAAAAGTCGTTACGAACAACCAAATGACTCGAGCGAGTTCAAACTTTCAGAGTATTCGCATGTATGTTATTCCATCGTGGTGATTAGTTTCTTTATCTGTTGCAGGGGCGTCTACATGTGGAAAGATACATCGCCCAGTAGTAGTGGTGGCGGCGGCGTAATAGGAGGCGGCGGCTACCCACCTGTCAGCAGCCAATCGTCTTCCTCTCACTATCACCACCAGCCAGATCTATACCGGTCGAACCCGACCAGTCCGACCGGGGGCGGGCAGCAGTACGGGGGCGGTCGAGCGTATCATCCGGCTCTGAGAGGCGGCGTACCGGTGTTCCCGCCCCAGCAGAGCCCGCAAGTGCAGCGGAAACAGACGCAGGCTCAACAACAACCGCCACAGCAGCCGCCCCAGGCGGATAACAGGAGGAGGCCTATGTCGTTCGTTAGGGCGTTGGAGATGTCAGACACGGTTAGTTTAAGTGATAAATGGTCATGTTACATGTTATAGCGTTGAATCGGTTTTATGAAAAAAAACCTTTAGCCTGAGGCTACAATACTAGAATAGTTATGCCAAGTGAACATTCGCAAGACGAATAAAATAAGGGAGAGATGAATTGGTCAAACCAAAAACATCACGTCTAACCACGTGTTGATTTTGGCATGCGGTATTCGTTGTCAAATAGATCATTCTTTTTGGATGAATTTATTGCTTATCACCTACAGCGAAATAATTAGCATTTTTTTGTTTGAATATGCTTTTATTTAGGCTTATCTTCGTATTGGTAATATGGTATGGTTCATTCATGAATTCATCCTCTAAACATAATCTCAATGTTTACTCAATTTTCCCCTCCTTTCACTATTTCCGCTTGTTGCAGGTAGAGCTGAGCTCCCAGGGCTCACAATGCTCTGCGCACATGTCCGGCGGCAGTGGTGTAGGAGTAAGTATCGGTAGCAACCGCCCCTCCACTCCCGATCGCACCAGCGTCTACGACATGAACTACGAGATCAGCGTGTAGGAGCGGCGCGCAGGCCCCCGACGGCAATACGAAGGCTTCGGTGGCGGCCCCAGATGAACGCTCGATGCTGGAATCCTCGCGTTCTACCCCCCGTAGACAGGCGACAGGCGGTTTCTCTGCATCAGAGACGAACGGCGCAACGGCGGGGAAGAGCTAAGGTGTCGGCCAGCGGCATCGAGAAGGGGTAAAGAAGGGTGGTGATATAGCGCACGGAAAATGTGGCGGGTCTCTGCTAGGAACATGAATTGGCATAACTCATGCAGTTGCAAGTGATCTTGTTCAAGCACCTCAGCGTTTGCACGTTCGCCACGTCAGTAAAATTATTCTTTGTCAAACACAATTGTCAGTACCGCAGTAGGGCAGTACATTTTGATGAATGCGACCCATGAAAAGTCGCTGTTAAGAAAATTAATTCACTAATTCTGCGCTCTAATTAATGGAAAGGACTGTTGTTTATACCATCATTATCGGTTGGCAAAAAAAAAATAGGCTATGATGTTCTGCGCGTCCACATATTTGACAAATACTCATGTTCGATCGTCCATCAAATACTGGTGTTTAGGTATTTTTTTACATAAATGCAACTCATTTTCTGCTGTTTTGACATTCATGACAAACATATCAACAAACAAGCACCTTCATACGGACAACAGAATATTCAACCATCATGGCTGAATCTATATAGGAACCTGAGGAACTTTTGTTTTATACTAGGAGCATGGCGCTAGATCCTATGGAATTCCATATCCTGTTTATACTTACAAATCACAATTGTGAGTTCTATGCGAAATATTTCATAAGGTGATAAAGGGCTTGTTTGTACTCTATGAACATTAGTTAAGTTAAAAAATGCATTATGATATTAATTACAAAAAATAACACATAACCAAACATTTTACATACATTATACCCTATTTCACACGTGTTCATCACGGCAGAATGACAGCTGATTATCTAGTAATATCTCAAAATTCCCCATATCGGCACAGGACACATAATTTTGACGGATCAGTCAACGCCAGATAGACAGAGACGAACTTTGTTTAGGTTTTTTGTACGCTACAGATTCATTTCGTACTTGCTAACAGCTCTTTTATTTAGAAAAGTTCATTTGCATACAAACAACGAAACGCCACAAACAAGTTTTACTAGATTTCTACCCGATCCATTATTGCCAACGTTGCAGACTAACACAAAAATGTCACTTGCTGATCAGCAGTATACGTCAAAGCGTGATGGATACTCGTGAATAAGGGTATAACTAATATATTTTCTTCGCCTACTTCCAAATGTTCAGAATTTTACTGAATTTACAGTTTTATCGTGAAGTGTTAACTGAAAATTATTATATTGCTTCAATTTTAAACCACTGGAATGAGTTAAACGGCATTGTTAGTGAGTTTTCTTGATTACTAAAAAGCATATTCACAACACCCATATCCCTAGGAATCTCAAAAGTCGAGAGAGACTCAATAAATATTAGGTACCTTTGCTGTCAGCCTCATGTTACTAGCAGGTGATTCATGCAGTGTAAGGTGATTTGGTACAGAACTGTGTATAGCGGTAAGAAAAGCTAAAAAACATTCCGTATCCCTTGAAATATCCTCACCCATACCCCGTGGAAAATGCGTTTTTTATGTACAAGGTGGGGTCATTTATTAACGGAACATGCTTGATATTACTCACACCATTTTGGCAGCCAAGTCAAACTTGTGTCAAATAGTGAGATAAGGTAACATAACGTATGCCATAATGTGATAACTCCATATTGGTATGACAGCTTTTTTACCTCTTGTCTGTGAAAAATTGTAGATTAGCTTGCTGTACATTTCCCATCCACGAATTTTCAATCAGATAGAATTGCTTTTACCAGCAAGTTCCGATTTTAAATAGCCACATTTGTTGTGTACGTTAGATGTAGCCACTATCTGCTGAATGAGAATGTGGCTTCAGCTGGAATGATGAGAGACTAGAGAGTTCCACTCTACCAAACAATGACCAAATGTAAATGTATATTAAATGTTGTAGTGATTTTGTACGATAAATGCAATAAGTTGATTACAAATTTTTATATAAAAATTACTTTTTCGAGTTGTCTCAAAATTATGTTACATTTTAAGCTTATTAGAGTGAATGAATATGATCTCAGAGAAAAATATCATTTTAGGTTTTCACTTTTTTTATAAACTCATCATAATGTGCATAATTGTTATATTTGATACAGTGTTAAATTTTCAATACAGGTACATCACATTTAATTTGTCTTTTTTTAATTGAGGAAGGTATTTAGACTGATTGTTATAAGTATCAGGGTACTACTTATAAGACTAGAAACTTATTTATAACTATTTAGTGGTATTATAGTTCTCCAGGCGTAATTTTGAGGCAACAGTTTTTGTCTGTGATTACAGATATACAGTAGCAAATATACTTGGAGATAATGTGCCACAAGTACTTACATCTTAAGATTGTAGACATATTCGTTTTCTGAAAAAATATATTTGTTCCCATCATTCCAAGGTGAAAATAAATTTTCATTCATCATTCGATATTTTATATGTAACAATATGAAGTATCAAAATTAATGTTTCATTTTTTGTGATCTTTTTAACCTACGTTGCCGTTTTGTCTCGCATATGTGTCAGGCTTCAGGTGGAATGTCAGCCAAAAATGAAGGTATTGCGATTTTTCTATTTCAAAGGATATGCCACATATCGTATGGCATATGGTTCTCTGTCAAATTGGCCGAAACATTAGTATAGTATTCTCCATACCAATCTAACCAATGGTTTTCGAGAGGATCCTAGTATCAATAACTTCCGAGTTACTGGATGCGTAACATCATAAATTCGAAAAAATATCAGCTTACAACAGATACCAACATGGCTTTATTATTTTCTTAGCCATTGATTATAAACTTATAGCTACTGTAATGCTCAGTTTTTCAATTACTGCTAACCGGTATTTGAACTTTAAAAAGCGTTTTTCATTGTCAGGTGTAGCTCTAAACAGTAGATCTTTAACTAGAAGACAAGATATTATTTTTCATGAGAACAATGTCTTGAGAGAATCGAAAAAACGCAGCCGAAATAGGCCAACATTTAGTAGATGGGTCAAAATAGTGTTGAAGTAGCTTTTGCAATTCTAATGAACATCTGATGGGACCACTTGGTCGCTCTGGCGTTTTTCTCGAAATCATTTCTTTGAATTTACGACACTTGCACACCCAGTAACCAGGGGCGTATTTACCCTAGGGCCATGAGGCACTGAATCTTAAAATACGCTACTGCCAGTAACTCTGAAACCATTGATACCCTAGAAAAAAAATTGATCAAAATGGTACGGAGAACCAGATACTATAACTCCAGCCAATCACCAGGAACTATTTCCCATGAATATTATTCATTACATGTACACCCGGTAACTTGAAAATCGTTGACCGTCGAACATTCTTCCTATGATGGCTTCTGATATACCGAAATATCAGCTAATTTGACTTGGTGTTGTTTTCCATGAAAATGGCTGATTTGATATAAGCGAAAAATGTGACTGAAACTCTACTAACATTCAGTAGATGGCTCAAATCGGCTTAATAGTAACCACTAAGGGCCGTCACACACGCATCGCAAAGTAAACGAAGTCGTTTCGTAAGCGATCTCAGTTGAAATCATGGCATCAACGGTACAAGATGTTTCTGGTGAATGATCTTACCTTTTCTTCAGACGAAGAGGATTTTTTATTGTTTGATTATGTTAGAGTAGAAAGCGACGTGCTCATTGTATCCATCCATACATGGCAAATACTGAGAAGAAAAGATTGTTTGTTGCTGCACGTTAACTTTCAGATGATAATAAATTCCGAAGTTTTCATCGAATGAGGAAGGAGACATTTAGAATTATTCTTAACATTTTAGGACCACACCTATTGAAAAAAAATCCAGAGCATTTAAACAAAACTTTTGAGTTTACGCTTGCTTCTACGCCTGCCTTACGCCAGACCGTTACGACTATCGTAATACGACTGAACATCTCATACGCGTCGCTGCAACACCGCTTCGTGTGCGGACTTGTTAGCACACATACGAGCTCGTTTTGCTCTCGTCCTACGCGCCTATTACGATACGCTTCCGATACAACGTAGTGTGCGAAGGCTCTAAGTTTCCAATCAATAGTGCTTTTCATAAATTGACATGTTTGAGAGAATATTTTGCTTGTATGTCGAAAACTGATGATACTAGGACCGTACGCCCATGGAAACTTTTGATCAGATTTTTATTTAGAACAACGTAGTAAAATTTTGACCATTTGCCATAAGAAATGTGCTGTCTCCTTTCTGCTCCCACTTGAAAATTACCGTATTTTTCTAAGGGTCAGTCATAACTAGTTTGCATACTACAAATACGATGGTTAGATCACTTGCCATCTTATTATTGGTATTCCGTATACTTTTGTTATATGAATTTATTAATATATTTGTATATATCGTATTTGTTACTATGTAATTTATCTGAGGACTGACATCGCGGCAAAGTTTCTTATACTAACAGAAGCTGTGGCTCAGGCATTTTTATTTTTTGGTACGTATATAAAGATGTACATAGTAATTATTTTAAAGCATATTTATGAAAGTGGATCAACTTGTAAAGTTTTAAAATGTGTTTGAAGCTGTACAAAATAAATTGATTTAACATACTGCATTTCACTGTTTTATAATTATTATGCAGCAGTACTCCAAGTAACAAATATATAGTTTTATTTTATAATGTTTTACGGACTTTTTTCAGTCATTGTTATGGTAATGTTTGTCTTTGGAATTATCGCAATAAAACGTTCTGTTCGATTAATTTTGAGTTTGAATTCATCCTAGATACGAGCACTGCAAAATCGTGTTAATGCGTCGATAATGCAAATTACAAACAAAAATCTAAGTAAACAGTTATGCAGTAGTTGAAAAGAATGATAGTTTTTGCGGCATTTTAAGACTCTAAAATGTTACGGCAAATTAAGAGCACAAAACATTTGTCCACCTTATTATTACTCATTGCAAGTGCAACTTTCGAAGTCTGCAAATTAAGTGATGAGACTGTTTTTTTTTTTACTTTTTTCATCCAAATATAATTACAATTTTATATTGTCAACCTCAAAATAACTTCTTTCCAAAGCTACACTGCTGGAGACGGTTCTTCCATTCCTCATAGCAGTGCTGGAACTCCGATACCGGAATAGCCAGACCTCGTACATGTAACTATCGATAGATTGTATGCAGGAATGACATTATTAGAACCAACGCTTGAATGGTAAGAGTTAGACGTTGTGGATATGGTTCAAGTTAGAAAAGAACGAG